CTCCCCTTTCTGTTTTGTGGAATAGTTTGAGAAGTGTTAGTAGTAAAAGTTTGGTAGAGGTAGACTCCTGATGCCCTGTGAACATGCCACCTAGAGAGGTTAGAGGGTTTCAGCTCCTGCACCCACAGCACCCCTACTCATGCAAACTCCAACTGAAGAAGTTAGAGGACTTGGAACTCACTGCTCCCAGCACTTGTGGCTCTCTGCCCCTGGTTTACATCTCTTATAACCCTACTCACTCTAGCTAGTGAAGTTAGAAGACTCAAGATCCCCTACCCTTAGTGAACACTTCCAATGTCCAGCACATACCCAGACTGGTCAAACTACAGGAGCAAAATCTCTTGCCCTGGGCTCAAACTCCTGCCTATTCAACAAATGATGCTGGCAAAACTATCTACCAGAAGAAAATGAAACTAGATTCATATCTTTCTCTTTGTACCTGTAGTCCAGGTCCAGCAGATCAGCACATTCTGGCCTCTGTGAGCATCTGTACTAATATACTCAGCTGCCCACACGTAACAAAGATCATGTAATTAAAGTTTTGTTTTGTTTTAAGAAATCTGAAGGCTGGACTGGTGATGGTACATGCCTTGAATCCCAACACTCAGAAGGCAGAGGCAGGTGGATCTTTTCAGGCCAGCCTGGTCTACAGAGGTAGATCCAGAGCAGCCAGAGCTACACAGAAAAAGTAAGATGTTAGAGTACTGGCTGGCTGCTTTGCTTATCTGGTCTTCAGGCAAGCTTATTAAATCATAAACAGTATATCATCACATCTTGGCTTTTTCTCTCTTTCTGTATATCTTTCCTTATTCCATGGGTGGCTGACCCCTGGAGTCCTCTCCTTTTTTCATTCCTTCATGTCTCCCAGATTTCTCATGCCTGGATAGTCTGTCTGTCTGGCAGCCCTGCCTAGCCTTTCTCCTGCCTTGCTATTGGCCGTTCAGCTCTTTATTAGACCAATCAGGTGTTTCAGACAGGCAAAATAACAGTTTCACAGAGTTAAATGCAACATAAAACAATGCAATACATCTTTGCATCATTAAACAAATGTTCTACAGCATAAACAAATGTAACACATCTACAAGAAATCTGGATACTCTCAGCATAATGATTATTTTGCAAGTTCTATACAACAAAATTTTAATAAGAAAATAATACAGCGTGTGAAATACTGGAAACATTTCAAAACAATTTATAAAACAAAAGTGAAAAAACATTGTGTTCCAATTTGTTGGCGATTTGCACTCATTTTTGTGTCTTCATTAATTTTGATTAATGTCATAGGTCCATTTTTAATGGAAGTATTTAGTTATTTTTTAGTTCATTATTCTAGTTGTCAATCCCTTGTCAGATACATGAATGGGAGGTGGTGCCGTGTGAGGTTTGGGAGATGGAACACAGTGCTTCTGCCACGAGGCTAGCACCAGACCACATGCATCCCATGCTTGTGCACTGTTTATCTTTCCTCATCCGTGAGATGGAGGGGAATGTTTCCTTCATGGGGTTATTGAAGGAAAGCATGTAGTGTGTAGAAGGTGCTCTTAAAAAGCTGTTTGCCAGATGCAGTGATGTGCAGCATGGTCCCAACTCTCCATGAGGCAAGGCAAGGGGCACTTCAGCTCAAGTGTGAGGGATGCGTGGAGATTAGCATCTGACCACAGCAAGTGTGAGAGAAGCCCGCCATGTTTGCGCAAAAGTGGGAGCAGAGGGTGCTGTGCTAATGGCTGAGGGCTCATGAACCCTGGGGCCCAGTGCCTTGGGAGCTTTCCCCACAACTTGGGGATGCTTGCCCTTTCTTAAGACTTGTCTTCTTCCCTGACCATCTGCGCTTCCTTTTTCTCTGAACCCCTCCCTGCTCCTACCTTGCAGCTAGCTCCAATGCGGAACATGCCTGCTTCTCTTAGGCGGGAGGTTTCTTCCTCTTCTCCATCTCCCTCCTGCTCAAAATTGCCAAGATCTGCTTCTCACCAGCCCTGTTGTTTGTTTTCTCTCTAATTCTGATAAACAGGTTTGTTCCTGAGCTTCCTTCGGTTTTCAAAATCTTTTCTTAAGACAAAGAGCCCACTAAAAGGAGCCTTGAATTCCCTAGTAGTGCCCATACTTCACAAGAAAGGCTGGGGTGCAGTGGGACTTAACCGGAAGACACAAAGCTGAAGCAGGAGGATCACAAGTTTGGATACAGCTTGTGGCACACAGCTGTCGAGGCGGGAAGTGAAGGGGAATAGCATTTCCATCTACAGCACTGCTTAGCAAAGCTGAAGGGACCAGTCCCCGTCTTAGCAGCCATGACAGGCTCCCCCCACCCCGCTGCCCCCATTGAGTCAGCTCCCCACATCCACACGGATTATGTTTGATTCGTGTCAGGGCTCTAGTGATTTGACTGAAGTGACCACCCTCCCCTGCCCATTTTAGCAGCCATGACAGGCTAACATGTGCTTGCAGGACTTTGCTGCTCCTGTCCTGGTCACTAAGAGGTCAGATGCCCTCCTTATGACTAGGAACCAATCAGAAGTTAGCTGGCAGGGCTGTGCTTTATGGACAAGTGCACAACAGTGCCGTGCAGAGCATAGCAACTGCCCCAGGAGGGTCTATGGGCCATAGCAACCCGTTGACCAATCAACACAGGGCAGGTCATCCAAACCTGGAAGCACACCAATCCTGAAACTGTTGTGTACCCCCCCCCCCAGGCACTCACCTTACACTGCCCTATAACATCCCTGCCTGGTGATTTATCAGGGTCTTATCTCCAGCCATCCTCTGCGGTGAGTGGATGGAAGGCCTGAGCTAATGGGGTTAGCTAGTTAAACAACTACAATAAAAGACTGCTTTTGCATCGAAATGGGCCTCTAAATTTTCAGAAGTAATATCTTCACAGACTCCTACTCACCGCCAGCATCCACTCACATCAATTCCAAACACTTGTTTTCAAGGACCTCCTTCCCTAACAGCCTCCACCTGTGTTTTTTCATTTCTCCTCAGGCTACATTTTCTGATCTTCAGGGATTCGGGAACTAATTCTCACTTCATTCTGAGCTTTTCAAGCTAAGGTAAAGCCTTTGTCCTTTAAACCTGTGTGATCTAAACACACACACACACACACACACACACACACACACACTCCTTCAGGCAACTTCAAAGAATTTTTCCTGGAGAGAGTTTAGGATTCAGTTTAGATGACATCCTTTTGATGAATTCTGTAATGATTCTCAAAAAGAAATAAGGAAATTAATACAATGCTGAACTACTGAACACTTTACATTTCAGCTTTGAGCCAGGTGTAGGAGGTGGAGGCAGAATTAGTTCAAGGTCAGGTCATCCCCAGTCACAGAGCAAATATCTAGCCTGGAATACAAGAAACCTCTTTAAAAACAAAAGAGTCAAGGAGTCAAGGACTGCAGAGATGGACCAGGGAGAACGATGCTTGCCTACAAGCCTTGCAACCTGAGGTGATGCCCGGACCCCACCTAAAGCTGGAGAGAACCCACTCCACAAAGTTGTTCTCTGACTTGCAGACGTGTTCCCTGGCATGAAGTACCACCTCGGAACATTAAATAAAAAGATCCTATTTACTCTCCACAACTCACAAAGATTGTGCTTATTTATTTCAAATGATGACAAATCTGCCACGAGGTAGTTTGGGGGGTTACCCCATGCAGGAACACTTTCTGGCAAAGGGTGCTGTTTACCACTTGAATTCAGCAGTAGCTGAACACAGTTCATACAGAGGAGGTATGGTCATTTAGCACAGCTTTGCAAGGTCTCTGGCTAGCCCCTGCTATATAAAGGAATCACTAATTACAACCCAAGTATTGTAGTTACAGCAAAGATTGTCGAGCTGGAATGGCCACAGATAACTTTAAAAATCATGTTATGGGTTGGAGAGATTAGCTCAGGGGTTAAGCATAGCCCCTAGGTAGTAGTACACACCTTTAAATCCCAGCACTCAGGAAGCAGAGGCAGGGGATCTCTGAGTCCGAGGCCAGCCTGGTATGCAGAGCAAGTTCCAGGACAGCCACAGCTATACACAGAAACTCTGTATGGAAAAATCAAAATTAAATGGGGGGGGGGCAGTCGTTAAAAGGTTCACTATTCTTGCAGATGCCTGGAGTTTAGTTCCTAGCACCCACTTTGGGTAGCACCACCCAACTCCAGCTCCAAAGGATCCAACACCCTCTTCTGATCTCCCTAGGCACCTGCACACACGTGGCATAGGTATAAATAAATCCTTTTTTTTTTAAAGAATTGTTTTATCTCCTGGTGGTGGAGATGCACACCTTTAAGTAGAGGCAGGTGGATCTATGTGAGTTCTAGGCCAGCCTGGTCTTCAGAGTTAGTTCCAGGACAGGTTCCAAAGCGACACAGAGAAACCCTGTCTCGAAAATAAAAAAAGTATTTTATCTTTCTGATGCAGACAAGAAAGGGTCCGAGATCTGGGACCTCGCAACTAATTAGTGCTAAGAGTAGAAATGAACTCGATACATATCTAGTGCCTGTTCTAGGGCTGTGAAATGATGTGGGGAAAGCCCAAGTTTCCCAACTCCCCAGAGCAGGTCCAAGGTGCGAACCGGATTCCCAGAGGGCAGAGCTGGGAAGATGCTGTCCCGGGAGCCCCCTCAGACCGTTTCTCCGCCAAGCCGCGCGAGGGCGCTGCTCGTCTCCTCGAGCGGCGAGCCCGGCGGCCCCGCCCACTCGCCTTTTCCCGGCGGAAATGCCGGGGCGATGACGGAAACCCGGAGGGAGGGAAGAGAAAGAGCGAGAGATCCCGGGCCCGAGCGCGGAGAGGCCTGCGTGCGGCGGCGGAGGCAGCGGGCGGACGCCGTCGGGCCGGAGTGTCCCCGGAGCCGCGCCGCGCTGAGCGCTCCGAGCCGTGTGCCCTTGGCCGCGCCCCGGGGCGCGTGGCCCGGGCCGGGCGGGGCGGGGCGGGAGCGCCCGGAGGCCGCGGCCCGCAGCTGCCCGCTGGGCTTGGGCGGGGCGCGGGCTGCGCGCTCCGCGGCTCGGTGGTCCCGCCGGGGGCCGGCGGCGGCGGGGGAGGCGGCGGGGACGCGCGGCTCGCCGCCATGGACGACAAGGCGTTCACCAAGGAGCTGGACCAGTGGGTGGAGCAGCTGAACGAGTGTAAGCAGCTGAACGAGAACCAAGTGCGGACGCTGTGCGAGAAGGTAGGCGGCCCGCCGCGGAGGCGCGCGCGGGGGAAACGGGCCCCGGCCCCGCCTGGAGTGCGGAGTGGGGTGCGGGGGCCTCCCCGTCCCCCCCCGCCCTTCCCCCGAAGGTCGGGCAGCTGCAGCCCCCTAAAGACACGGGCGACTCTCCTGAAAGTCGTTGGCACTGAGACTTGGTTAGCGTGGGATTGTTCGCGGGTGATCGGGGCGGGGAAGGGGGGCCCCCCGAAAACCACGGAGTGCACGAAGCTTTTGTTTGCACACTAGTGGGCGTGATGGCAGGCAGCCCTTGAGCCGGGCTCACTTCGGTGGAGGCAGGTGTTGGCGGCTCTGGTCTTGGTGGTGAGTGGCTCTTGGGAGGGATTTCTTTTTCAGGAAGAAGGCAGCAGGTGTTGAGTTTGGAATCCGTGTTTACTGGCAGGGAGAACTGGGATACGTGCTATTTATAAACTCCCACATTACAGAAAGTTACTTCCATTTTTACCGCGAGTACCACCACCACCACCCACACACACACACATCTAAGACCTTGCGGGTGATGGTTTGGAGGGGGGAAAAAAGCCCTTCTTGACCGTGTTTTCGTAAATCTGTACACACTGATTTATTAATTGCTGGAATTTTAAAAGTCTTTTCGTTCATATTTTTTCATTCCTCTTCTATATTATGGACTAAATCACTTCACTGTATTTTCCTGCTAAAGAGGCCCAGGAAAGAGTAAAGGCGTTAATTATTTCACGTGTTAATCTATACATCTTAGAAGTCGAGATACTACCAAAGAATTTTGTCTGTCTTATTTATAAACACTCTTTACTTGGGGGGGGGGCAGTAACCCATGGAGTGTCTTTCAAGAGTTCCGTGTAATCCAAGTCCTTTGTGTGTTGAATACTTAGCCCAGGAGAGTGTCTTTCTTGAAAATGGTGTTTCCCCCCAATGAAGCTGTTTGCTTCTAGCCTCAGCTAACTTTTATTTTTCTTGTGTGATAACCTGTAATTTCGTAAGTCTCAAAATTAACCCTTTAGATGATCTCTCTCAAGTTCGAGCATCACCGGGCTGTCCAGTTTGGAAATTGGCTGAGTCCGTCTTATTATGATCGTGACATCCAAAGCTGAAGGGACAGAGGTGGCTGAGTCAGTCCAGGGTTCCCGTTTGACCTTGTAGTAGTTTTAGGATCCATCCTTGCAGAAGGTTGTTCCACCGCTGTGAAGTGTCACACTTGAGTCTTAAACTCTTAGGAGACTTTCTGACTCTCTTTAAGAAAAAAAAAAGATTGTTTTTCTTTTAATCTCAGCTTCTTAATAAACTGCATTACCAGTTCGTAGCACCATGTAGTGTATTCAAGCTGACATCTTAGGCTGTGGGTGAGTGGTTTTCTTTGCAGATCAACACTAACTCACAGAGTATCACCCATCCCTTCCTGCTCTTCTCGCTTAGGATGGAGTTGCTAGTGGGAGAGGTTTCTTCACACACCCCTTCCGCCATCTGTGGTGTGTGTGGGGGTGGGTGTGTTGTCTTTAGTCCCTAGTCCTTTTTGTAATAGGTTTAAAGATTCATTAATTTTTAATTATGTGTCTGTGTGCTTAGTGCTCTGTCTGAGGAAGCCAGAGGCGTCGGATCCCCTGGAACTGGCTGGTGGTGAGCCACCTGATAGGTCCTGGGGGCTAACCGAACTCTGGTCCTCTGTAAGAAAGTATACAGGTCTTACTTGCTGAGCCATCCTGCCTAAGTCAGCCTATTAGAATTCGGTTCTGCTCCTGTCCTGTACATCCGATGCTTATCTAAGGCAGGGATGATACTTAGCCGTCTTTTGGGTGTAAGATCTCAAGAGGCGCCTCATACAGTCCCTACAGTAAGTGAGCGCTTGGGGAACACTAAGCAAATGAGAAAGGATGTGTACGTTTTTCCTCTCAGTTTCAGTTGTCCCTCCACTTGCTTTGGGAGGGAAATGTGAAATAGATGTGTTAATGAAACTTCTGGTGATTAGACTTGAAAGGGATTTTGTGGCCCTAACTAAAACGTCATGTGTTCTCTGTTAAAATCTTCAGCACACAAACTACTGGGGTTTACAGCAATGTTGTAAAATAAATGACTTTGCTTTCCAGTTGATCTTGTGGACACTCTACCTTTCCAGAGCAAGAATGTAGTATAGGAAGGACGTAAGAGAAAGTCAGACGTGCATATCACCTACCTTTAATTCCTTTTGGCTAGTCTTTAGTGTGTGTGTGTGTGTGTGTGTGTGTGTGTGTGTGTGTGTGTGTGTGTGATTGTGTTTACAGTGCACATGGTGAGGGGCTGTCAAAGGCCAACTGTGTGTAGAAGGTCCTCTCCTCCACCTTATGTGAGCTCTGGGGATCCAACTGGAGTCTCCAGGTTTGGGCCTCGAGCACCTTTACCTTCTGAGCCATTTCTCGGGCTAAAAGAGTTATTATTAATTTTTTATGAAGAGCAGGTCTCAGCATGTAGTCCTAGCTGCTCTGGAACTCTTATATAGACCAGGTTGACAGACTCTGCCTGCCTCTGCCTCCTGGGTGCTGGGATTAAAGGGGCACGCCACCACACTTAGCCCACCAAATATTTTAATGATGTGCTGTTTTAGATTCTGTTTGCCATAGCACTCTGTAGAAAGAAAAAATGGATTTTCCTCTGGAAATTAAATTCCTACCGTAATTGCGCTTGTCTGAAATGGAAGCAGCTGAAGCCAGGACCAGAGTAGTCCTGTTAAGACTGTGTCCAGGGTAATGGCGGTCAAGCTCCTCCCAGTATCGGTGGGTGAATGGCTTCCACAATGCCAGCAGAGACGTGTCTGCCTTCTGAAGTGAATGGCTGTCGCTCACCTAAATTAGCAGCCCATAGTCTGAAGGTAATTGTGAGTCTGACTCTTGTGCGGGCATAAATACCGCTTCTGGAACTCCTTCCTACGATGACAGTGTGCGCAGCAGCTTTTAAAGATGGTGTGCCAGGGGAACTGCACTGGCCCAACCAGAACGTTCTGTGACCACAACTATATTTAACTCTCGTCTTGGGAAGAATAAAAAAAATATTTTTGACCTGTTAAGCTTTATTTTATAACTGAAGAATGTTTGTGATGATAATCCATGGGGGAAGGGAGAGCTGGTTCCTGTTTTGGCAGATACCTGTTTTAATCTTTAATCAGAAAACCTGAGGCTAGTATAGAAGTAACGTGTAAATAAATTGTAGGGCTGGAGAGAGGGCTCCGAGTTAAAGGCTAGACTCACAACCAAGAGTGTAAGAATACGTGTGAACTCTATATTGGATTGATGGTGTGTTTTATGACTCGGCCTCAAAGCCTGCCAAGCAGACATTGAAGATTTACGTTTATGCTGTAAAAGAGCACGCCTCTGAAGCAGAAGAGCAGACCATCGTAGAAAGAGCCTGTGAACTGAGATGATAGATTACTCTCTGTGGTAGATACAACTTTAACAAAAGTGAATGTGCTTTTAGCTGGGTGTGGTGGCACACACCTTTAGTCCCAGCGCTCTAGAGGCAGATGTCTGTGAGTAGACACCAGCCTGGTTTCTGTAATGAATTCCAAGACAGTCAGGCTACATGGAACAGACCTTGTCTCCCAACCAAAACAAAAGGTAGTTCTAAGTGCTAAAAACCCTAAATGGCTATGTAGCAAGTTTCAGAACAGCCAGTAGTGAAACCCTGCCTCAAGAAACAAAAACATTTGCTGAGGGTTGGTTATGTAATGCCAGGGACCAAACAGACTAGATAACTCATCACTAAGCCAGTTTGATGTGCTTGGTAAATGAAAGAAATTCGAATCTGTGTTGAGGAAGTTTTAGTTGTTTTGAATTTACTTTCTTTTACATTCCTAAGTAAATAATAAAATACAAACCTAGTCTAGGTTGTTGAAAATAACTGAGGACTGGAGAGATGGCTCAGCGGGTAAGAGCATTTGCTGTCTGACTGTGGTCCCAGGAGATCCAGTGCCCTCTTGGGCACCAGGCACACATGTGTCGCACAGACATGCAGGCAAAACACTCTAACCCTGAAATAATAAATCTAAAAAAATAATTTATATGAAAACACTCTAAATGTGAAATAGTAAATCTAAAAATTAATTTATATGAAAACACACTAAACATGAAATAAATCTAAAAAATTTAATTTATATGAAAACACCTCTTTTTTCTTGTATTACTATTAGTGATCAAATGTTACCTTTTTCTGAACAATACTTTTCAAGTCTGTTGTTGGTCATACTAACTTTAGAAAGGAGGTCTGTATAGTATAAATCATTCCCTTTCTAAGGGAGAGCTCAAGGTTGGACTTGGTTTGTATCTTTTATACTCTGTAATAATCTCTCATCCTTGTTTTTTTCTAAAAATTCATTTGGAAGTAGGGTGTGTGTGTGTGTGTGTGTGTGTGTGTGTGTGTGTGTGTGTCCATCCGTCCATGCACGCATGTTGTAGCCATGAGAAGTCAGAACAACTTACAGGAGTCACCTCATATCACCAGGTGGTCCCTGGGATCAAACTCAGGTTGCCTAGTGGCAAGGGCCTCTACCCACGTCTTTAAATTCTTTAATGTGATTGACTTTGTGACTGTATAAACATGCAGATGGTGCAGGCTTGCAGGCCTAGTTCTTGAGTACTGGGGACAGGAGGGAGTCAGAGCCCAGCCTACACTAATGAGAACCCCATCTCAAAAAAGCCAAAACGCATCAGTTAATTATTAAAATCAGGGTTTGTTTTTTGTTTTAATGAAAATGTTTTGTGGAGGATGAGATGTGTGGCTCAGTAAGATAAAATGTAGGCTTGATTTTGGACTTCACTGCCCCAAAACTTTTAACTTTTATTTGTGCTAGAGGGCACGAGTCCCAGAATTACATTTCTGACTCCAACTTCAAGAGTTTAGAAAAATTGAGGTGAAGAGCCTGCAGAGGGCCCAGGTTCAGTTCCCAGCAACCACCTGTAACTCTGGTTCCAAAGGACGGCTCTGACCCCATCTTCTGGCCTCCCAGGCAACTACATTCA